GAACACAATGTTATACAATATGTCATTTAATAGATAAAACCTTGACTTTCTATTGGTTATAGGTAATATATAATGAAACAAAAGAGAGAACTATCAATGAATTGTGAAATTGGTATAACATAAACAAAAAGTAGTTTAATAACAGTTTGAATGTAAGACACTAAAATCTTGTGTCATATGCAGTAAAGGGTACCCAGGCAATAGGGTTAAAGTATAACATTGAAGAGTCAAGTAAGATTCTACAACCTAAGAAATCATCTTTCCAAAACAAGATTTTGAATAGCTAAGATCAAATCTCAAACCCCAGACCTTAAAAGCTTAGTGAGAATTTAGGTGCTCTTTTCAAAATGTTTTAAATTTTCTTTGATTTTTTTTAAAGTTTTCATATATACATATTATAAACATTCACATCCATAAATCAAACCTAGTTCAGAAATAAGACTTACAAGTTAAGGTTAATATATAAACTTACTTTTCTGTCTTATTTTGGTCATTTCATATTCCACCTACCAAAAAGAAAAAGTAAGATGTTACTTGAAGTACATAAAACATAAAGTTCAAAAGTTTTAGTATTTATAGCTTTTACTCTCTTCAGAATAATAAAATATTAGTAAACTATATTTAGTAATCCAATACCTATTCTTTCTTAGAATATATACACATACATTTTGTGAACTGACAAAAAATAATTCATTGGAATTTTTTTTTAAGTACCAAATATTTCAAAAGCTTTAACAAAAGTGTAGGCTATAGAGCTAAAACTAGCTCAAATAGTATTTAAATATTCAAATATTCTCATAACTAGTTCTACTCAGTCCATTTGGCAAGTTTGACATGAAGTAAAATTTAAAGTATTTTGTGAAAGATTCATAATATATTTTAATGTACTGAAAAGAAACTTAAAGAATTTGTCAAAGAAGATTCATTGAGTAGTCTCACATGACCCAGAATAAAATTTAACAAATACTGTTAAAAATGTATATAGTACATTGACAATAAGACGTAAAATTAAAAAAGTATTTTGACAGAGATTCATCCAGTACTTTGACAGAGGAAATAGTCAAATTTGACAAATATTTGTCATGTGAGAAAACTGGTTAAGGTTTTTTTGACAAAGACAAAAATAGTTCTTTGATATATTAAAACTCAAGTTATAATCTTCCTACACTTAAAATATATTTCAGACAGCAGAGGTAGGATGAGGGATCCCAATCGTACTACATGTGTGAGAACATGATGTTGATTGGTTAATCTCTAAATCCAAAACTCAACTATCAGGAACTGACTTCCATGTGGGGGTAGGTTGAGGAATCCCAATCAAGTTTACACCAGCAGAACACCACAACCCTACTCTCATTTGAATGGATGCATTATTGTTATATTGTATATTTCACATTCAGGAGGAGACCTCCATGGTCCACCACCCCAGTGGCTTGGAACTGGAAAATGCCAAGGACTCTCTCATTTCCACTGGAAAAAAAAAAGGAGGGGGGGGGGTGAGGTGGAAAGTCTGGAGATTCTATCATCTCTAATATATTACAGAACAGTGTGCATTTAATGGGCATGGAAGAATAAAACAAACAAAAAACATGGCCTTTCAGTGTGGATTTGAGCATGAAAATAAGTGAAGTATACCCGACCAGGCACCACTCACCATAGAGTGGGATCCAGATCAAAACATGGGATAGGCCCCTGAAAAAGATAAATAAGGAAAAAAAGAAACTTACCCAGTTATAGTCACACCGAGGTCTGAAGAGTGGCAACAGGCAGAAGATGATAAAATGACAAGGAAGAAATATCAACACAATGCAGATAGTGGGAGATGAAAGTATGCAGAGTGGTCTACATGCCTGGTTGAAGGATTTACTCCAATGGACAATGCAGATGAGATGCCAGGTAAAAAGTAAGGTGCCTAATATGATGGGAAGATGCCCAGAATAATTGATGGGAAGAAGGCGACAAGGAATAATAAGCCAATTGAATTAAAAGTCAAGCCCAATTAGTAAGGGTGGAAGGAGATAGATCACAAACATAGGATAGTTGCCAAAGGATGAATAGATGGGAACAGTTATGACAAAAGGAGCCTGTGCATGCAATATAACAATGAAGAGCATGAATAGGACATAGAAGTCTATCCAGATCAGTGAGAAGGAGGAATTACCCTCCCTAGCCATCAAATTTTTGGGAAGAAAGGCTTGATTTGGGTAAAGGAGAAAGTAGGAGGAATGATACACACTATGTGAAACATTGATGGCACACAAATCTGACCAACGATGTCCACAAGCCAAAAGGAAGAGGAAATACACTTTGAGGGATAATTGAAACAAGGAACAAAAAGACAAAGGATCAAATGGAGGAAAAGTAAGACAAAGAATCAATACAATGACATCCCAATCCAGAATAGCTGCACACCATGAAGTGTGACTAATTTGGAAGGAATGTAACAGGAGGGACAAGGTATGAGAGGCAAAAACTTTACGGTACCGGGAAAACAAAAGGTGTGAGATAAGGCCGCCCAAGGAGAACGAAAACCCCTAATCAAAAAACAAGGTGAGAAATTCTGTAATAAAAGGAAACAGCAGGACAAGCAGGGAAGAACCCCTGGCCCAAAGACTAGTGGCAGATGACGTTCCACTTATGTTGATAAACCTCCATGGAAGAAGGTTGAACAGAACGTGTCAACAATGAAGCTACTCATTGTGATAAACTGAATTTCCTTGCCAAGGACTGGATAAAAACTAGGCCTGAAGATAGAGGGCAGGAATGGCAGTATGAACTACCTGGGACTGAGGCTGCCATAAAAGGGTTTGGAGTGGTGGGAAGTGAAATAGATTGGATATGAAGCAGCCACAGAAACCACGGTTGAGCTGGCCAACATGAGGCAATCAGAAGGACCTGACACAAAGTGGAGTGGATGATAGAAAAAATCCTGGGAAGGAATCAGATAGGGAGGATAAACATAAAGGAATTTATTTGTCCAATCCTGACTTAATGCATCGACAGCCAGAACAAGTGGATGGGGTACTGGAGACCAAAACTGAGTTAACTTGGTATTGAGGATAGTGGCAAATGCATCCAGGTGTGGTGTATCCACCTGAGTGCACAACCACTGAAAAGTCTGAGGATCTAAAGACCACTCTATTGGATAAATTTTGTCTGGGCGGGAAAGATGATCTGCAACAAAGTTGAAAGCACCCAGAAAATGACATGTAAGGAAATGAATACCTTGCGTGTGGGGCCCAAAAAAGAAAATCCAACATTCAAGAACAAAGGGAATGAGAACAGGTGTTTCCATGGTGATTAATATACATCACGACTGTAGAATTGTCTGCATGGATCATAAGCAGATGATTGCAGGCCAAAAAAAAGAAAATGATCCAAAGCCCACTGAACAGAATATTGATATGGTAAGATCTTTCTGTCACAGACCATAGACTCGAAGCATCTTGGTGCTTGGCCCACGCCCCATAGCTGTGAAGCAAAGTGTCCATGAAAAGATGTAAATGTGGACAAGGGGGAGGAAGTGAAACTTAAGCCGAGGTGTGAGCCTTGTCCAACCACCAATGCAGATCCTTAACAAGGGAAGGAGGAGGTATAAGGAATATCCACGGTATTACTCTCAAGGTACTGTTGATTGTGAAGAGCCCACTGAAGGAATATCATATGAGCACAACCCATGGGGATAAGTGCCATCATGGAGGACCATATTCCCCAAAGAGAGAGAACCTTATGAGCAGTAAAAAATGGAGCAGGAAGGCATTGATGATTGCCAGCTCTATCAAATGGAGTTAAAGAGGAGAAGGTCCCGAAGATAAGGAGATGGTAAATGAATGTGGGACAAAACTGCATCTCTCCCCAAAAGATCACAACAACAGAGGAACCATATATGTAAAGAAAAAGTAGAAGTCAACAAACATGCCAACAATGGTGGTAATTAGGGCAAACATATCCCCCAAGAAACCCTCAGGATCACGGTGGATTACCTTGGAGAGAAGGTGGATGATGGACAAGCACTGTATGATAAATGTGAGGGTAACATGAAGGCAAGAAAATTGGGTATGGGACAAAAGAACAATCAGTAAACCCCCCCAAAAAAAATGGGTGAAATGAATTCCAAGCGTTGAAAACCCAGAAACAGAAATTCGGCCTGATTGTAGGCTAGAGCAAAATGGTCCGCATCCCGTGGAGGGTGAGGCACACTCGTGCCATCATGTAACTGAGACACAAAATGCTAAGCATGAACACCAATATCATGAAAGAGTGGAAATTCAAAATACTGAGAGGAAGGAGTATCATATAACAAGGAAGGTAGAGGATTATAGGAAATTGGGAAAAGTGATAAAACAGAACATACCTGTGAAATAATATCCTAAAAAGTCATATTAGATCTAATGTAACCCACAAAAGTAACTGGGAAAGACATGGCAAATTCAGATAGAGGAAAAAAGGTTATCAAAACTGTCGTTGCCCTAAACTGATTCAGCTTGTTCAGAAGAAGTTGGGCAATATCAGGAGAAGAAGGCTGGTACAAATAACAATCAATTTCTTGATGAATAACTGCTGATATTTCCAAAGTCGAGTTACCTTCACCTGATGCCTGGTAGAAGGTACAACCTCCAATGTAGTAACATTTATTTCTGAATTCATACAATAAACCAAACACAACTGTGTTGATAAAGACAAACATGAAAAATTAATTAATGTCCGTATCTGGGTTTCGAAAGTGAAATAATACCACTACGAAATATTAAAATGGAAGTTATAGGTTGTAAAGTACAAATAAACACTAAGAAAATTCAAATTAGAGTTGAGAGAGCACTAAAGAAAAAGTCTTAACACAAGTACTGCAAAATGAAAAGTGATAGTGAGGTAGAATAGCATAGAGGGAGTCACGTGTATTGGTGGAGGTTTGTCGCATGATAATCTGCATTTTTGAATCAGTTAAACCAAGTAAACTGAAAGTGTATGTAGGAATAAAAGGCTTGTGGTGTGCAAAAAAAAATTTTGCAAACAGAGGGCAGCACTGAATGAAAATAGTTATGTATGTGAGTGGAAGTAAGGTATCTTGCCGGAACTTTTTTTTTCAAAGAGCAAAATTCAATGGATGACAATAAATTTTGGCAGCTTTACTAAAGTATATAAAAATTAAACCAGAAGTAATAATGTATATATTTTTCAATTTTTGGTATAAAATACAGTTGAGTATTTTGTCACATAATTTTAATGAAAAGATAAAAAAAAAATAGTATATTATTTTCAAGGATTTGTGTGTTGATTAAAGCAAAGCGATGTGACAGCTAAGCTGCAGAAGATGCTAATACTGCTATTTGCTACATTAAGTAATTAGGATATTTTCTTATATGTATTTATAGATTGTAAATAAAGTAATGGATTTTTTAAGTTATTTAAACATCACTTTAAGAATTTTTTCATTGATCTAAATTGAATCTATTAAGTTGCACTGCTATAATACAACACCAAATTTAGAACTGACCGCCACTAGAAAATTAAGCCGATCATTTAAATTACTCTGTATGCCTTGGATACATATCATACAAAAAACTTAACTTTGAAATTGCTTTAGTTTAATACATTAAAAGGTATTTTATTACTTTTTGTCAAGTTGCTGTTAAACTAGAAGAGCAAACAGAATGTAAATAATTGAGTCATGTCAACAATTCTAATTCTTAAACTATTACTTCAAGTTAGTTACAAGTGTTGTATATCCACACAAAATAACTTTTGTGCATGTATATTTTACTTTTTTTGCAAGGCATACACACAGACAAATATACAGAATTTTAGACTTTCGAAAGAAAACATGTTATTATGTTCAACAATTATTATTAAACACTAATAACAAACTCAAAAGCATATTTAATATATATGTGTATAACATTACATAGCAGCAACTCTTTGTATAAACAAGTGGATTATAATTCTTCACAAATACACTAAGCTAGGTATTATAATTATAATACACACATCATGAATTTTATAAACTTGAATTCTGAAATGGTTTTTTACCTCGAATGTAATTACAAACACTTCTTAAAAATAAAATTAAATTTACAACTCTTGAAATGTATTTCAAAATATCACCAAATTTAATACAACACAGTGATGTTCATTGTAACATATAAAACATACTCACCTCCTCAATTCCATCTACCCTGTAGGAATAGAAAAAAAAATACATAAACTACAATAATGCTGTTTGATCTGTTGACCTCTGAATAAAGAACTAAATGTTGGTTTTTTGGAAAATCTGCATATCAGACTAAGTATATGAGCTATAAGATGGAGGTTATAAAAAAGTTTACAATGAAAATTATGTTTAGGACCATAAAAACCTGGGTACTCTTTAAAACACTAATATTTTAGTTTCTTCATTATCCGCAGTAAAAATCTTATGACTATGCAATCATTCCTTGCCACTACAAAGATCTAGAATCATTTCAATGGTTACAAACTTGGTCTGTAAGGTAGTCTTGGGAGGGGGTTCAGCACTGGATAAAAAAATATTTTCACCAAGAATTTTGCAATGCAATATATATAACTATATAACATTGTTTATTCTTCAGATATTTTTTTAAAGAAACATTTGCAATGAAATCTTCATAAAAGTGGCTATTATTTAAAACTAGCAGAAACTCACAAAACATTTGTGGTCAAATCAGTATCTGTTTAGCAACAGTATTTCTCTAAATACAGTATTTCTAGAATAAAACAAAAGATGTTTAATCACTGACACAGAAATCTAGAAGTCCACCTATCTTAGACCTAACATCAGTTAAGCCTTTATTAAGTACAGTCTATGTTCAAAAAGAGAAATAATTAACATTGTAGCTTGTGTACCATTTTTTTGTTTTTAGTTTAGTTTGTGCTAAACTTTACCACACTTAATACTATCAATAAATAAACCTGTAATATTATTCTGCAACCTAATGTTAGACCTTTTTAAAATATTTTATATGTGTTTAATATGTTGTTGTACAAAGTGTCTAATATGGTATACTTACATCTGCCTTTTGTTTACATCCATTGAAATGAAGTGCGTGCACATTCACATTTAGATAGTAAGGTGTATGCATATTTTCAGGACAGATAAAAACTTGGTAATATTATAAATTTTCATTAAATCATTAGGTGGGAATCCTCAGCAAAAGTGTCTAAGGCTTGGAAGACTCAAGTTAAAAACTTTGGGAACCCCTGGTCTAAAAGAGGCATGTCACATTTGTCTACTACAAAAAATAAGTGAAGTTACAACAATGTAGTGAAAAATGCTTTTTCCAATGATATATATAGTTTTTTTTTCTTCACTGATTAATTCAACATATGTATAAAAGAATTACAAACACTAAGTTTAACTTGCCCATTTATATTGTTTAAGGCATAACACCACACATTCAAATCAGTTTATGAAAACCACAAGGTTTCACATAATCATATAAAAATTTAAGTTATTTAAAGTTTGAGAGTTGTGGTCTAACAAATCATTAAATTAGTTATACTACATATATATTTATAAGTTACATTCCAGTTACATTAGCAGAAATGTTTCTTTTCAGTCTCTTGATATCATCTAACTTACAAAACTCTGCCCAAATATATCAACTTTACTGAAAGTCTACTTCCCGTAACTCTCTTTTCAACATCAAACAAAGATGACTGTATTATGATATATATTTTAAAATTTTTCTTGGTTGCATCTGATGAATATAAGTGACTTGGGGCAACACATATAAAACAATATGTAATAATTTCAGCTTTACCAATTATTCCATACAATAATTTGATTTGGCCTTATATTTGAGCTCTTCTGTAATGCAGTTTTTGAAACTTATACTGGATGCCAATTATAACACAAATTTTAATATTTGTTATTTCTTCTACAGTTACAATTTTGAATAAGTGTAGCAGGAGCATCATGTGCAAGTTTGTCAGAATGCTGATGTGGTTGTCCATATGTTAGATTTCAAATAGTAATTAATTAGCTTTTTGTACATATTTATATATATACAATGTTCTTCAGGCTCAAAATCAATTTGCTTCAGCCAAATATATCAATCATTTATAACATCTGAATGAGGCATTCAACATAGCTTATATCATCTACAAAATGAGATTAATAAGGAAGTTGGCTTACAACATGTTGAGTGTTTTGCTCATATATCAATTGTCTTGCAGCAATCAATTTAGGTCTGTCACATGAACAGTAAGGAAAGACTGCTCAAAAAGAATGTCTCAGATTGAAAAAGTTGTCAGGAATTGGGAAAATTATCAATCAAGTATGAAAATTGAGAGTAAAATCTAAAGAATTTTAACTTTGTCTTATTAATTTTAAACCTTGAAATGGTAATCAAAATGTTTTAATGAAAACAAAGTCAAAAACAACATTATGTACAATGCTCATGTTTAATGTGTTAAATAATAAAACCAAAAGTTTCAAAGTAAAGAACTAAGAAAACTGATAAATTAGGGGTATAAAATGTTCAACAGTTTGAAGAAATTTAAAAAAAGTTACATACCACATGGGTGGTTGCTTCGAGTCTCTAAGGGACGTATTACCCTTCTCCACATCACTATGTGGAACCAGTGCAGATTGGTCATCTAATGCCTAGAAAATAAAAAATATCATCAAATAAGATCATTGAAGGAAATATAATATATATAGTGTGACGATCTTGTTCCATACCATGCACGACTAGGTCATCTACAATAGCCTCAACTAGCTCAATAAAGACACAAAGAATCCTGGGAACTATTTATTAACACCTAAAGACAAGTTATAAAAGACATTTCATAAACACAGGACAAGTGACATTCACTTGCTGAGTGGCAAATCCAATCAGGCACCAGTAGATTAAAACCTACATGGTATTGCCTGTATAAGTGGTATATAAAATCGACTAACAGAAAACTCACCTTTTTTCTAACTTCCAAGTGAAGCATTCATATATATACCACAGCTCAACATATGTTGGTGTTACATTTACAATAATTAACATAACTATATATCCCAAGCCAATCAACAATAAACATTTTGTACTACCAACAGCATGTGACTATTGAACACCATACAATGTAATACAGTAATGGCTGGAGACGGCTTGAATGGGTAATGAAGAAAAACTTTAATATAAGTTTAGCATAACAGTAAATGTACAACGTTTCGACAAGGTTTTGTCATCATCAGGTACAAGTAATTTACACTGACATGAATATATATATATATATATATACAGTATTGAACAAAGAAGTAACATGACCGGAACTGTTGTGAAACTTAGAAGAGGTATCTAGGCACCCCGGGGTGTTGGTCTCCAGCCATTATTAGTCTCAAAGTGGGTTCCTCGTCATCGAATACCTATTCTAAGTTTCACAACAGTTCCGGTCATGTGACTTCTTTGTTCAATACTGTATATATATATATATATATAT